AACATCAGTGTCAGTGTATCACAGTGTCGTGCAAGATAGAAGATACACCAACTGGCTTCAAGCACTTCTAGCAGCCGTGATTCGGACGACTCCATCGTCTCCAGGTACGGCGTTTTCCTTCACAATTTCCCTCGGGTTGTGTTCCTTTGTTTCTTCCCGCCACGGCCCGAGAAAGTGTCATAGTTAAACAACGCAAATACAGTCCACACTCATTTTTGTAATAGATGACCGTTACAATTTTGGTCTACCAACCGCATAGCGCAACCACTATGTTTTATTCAATGTTGCACAATGTTTCCTACGCAAAGCTCTAAGGTGCTGTTTGAGGTGACAACTTCATCCCTATATCCATCAGGGCCCTGCTCAACAATTTCAAAAGAATATCTGCCAAACACCATTCCGGCTTACTTTGAACTCGTCTCCATTATGGTATTAAAAGAGCTATTTGCAGCTAGTAGCAACTCGACTGTGCATATTTTAGGGTCGGGTCGGGCATAGGCTCGCCAGCCGATTTAGACAATTTCTTTTTCTCCGTCTTTAAATAATAAACAACAACCAATATTTTATTCCTCCTCTTTGAACTTTGGCCGAATTGACAAAGAGAAGATCCTCCATAAAGCGCATGAAATTGCCCAGTAGATCGACGATGCGAATGTTATTGATGACTTGTGTTTCATGAAATGTTTTCTTGAAAATGTCGTTAGTGTAATTCAGGCATTTGTCAAATATCTTCTCTTCATAAAAGACCTATATAGCTATTGCTATAGAATCATTGTTGCCTTACTGAAATACTAATTAGTAGGCTACAGAGCATATTAAAGATTAAATTTATCTTTTCGTAGATATCTATATATACGCCAAATGCATATATACTATGTACTGTAAAAATTACATTAAGGGGTAAGTAGAAAAAGAATCGAGAATAGAATCATAAAAAATACCAATCAGTTACAAAAATATTTTCAGTTAAATTACGTATAATGTATATTATTACGTTAATAAACGTCATTGATTTTTAATGGTTTCATATGACGGTTCGGAATTAATCGATTTACAACGAAATTGATAGTTAATTGTGCATGATAAAAAGGCGTAGGTAGCCGTCACCATCCATTCACGCCCCTCATTGGATGTCAAATGACTGTCAGTCATAGTGAATGAAATTACTTTATCAAGTTGTCTGCTACAAGCGAGTCGAAATTCATTTGGGTCAGTACATTTTGTAAATTAAAAGTCTTGACTATTGGGAGTGAACAGATGTGTGAATGTATTCCTGTGATCACCAATCAGGAATATAGTTGAGATACAAATAGGACGGCCTTCTTTTCGATATATTGAACCAACGATAAGTTCATTATAGAGTTGATACTAAATCTTTTTATAGATTGTTTTAATGAGATTTATGTTAATAATGAGTACGATGTACTCTTTCAAAGTCGAATCAAGGGTCTTATCCATCGAAATGTTAACAATTAATGAATATTTTTGAAAATTCACAACTCCACAGAATCTAACACTGAAAAGGTGTTGCGCATTGGTTATTAAGCTTAATTTTTTTTATTTACTTTTTTTTTAAATGTAGTTATGTACCTTGAATTTTAAAAAGGGAATGTTCATTCCGACTATGGAACTCTGCAATCTTTTCCAATTAATTATTTGGGAATTGCAACCTTTAAGCACTAACTTAATATGGGATTCTGTTGCCAATTTTATAAGATTGGCAATTTTGACATCGTAGTTCTAATTTTAAACTTAATGATTCTTATTAAGATATTCTGTCTGTTCTTAAGCCGGTTTATTCACCTATTCAAAACCATCGTAGTTGAAAGAATAAGCTCCATATCTAATTGCATCGAGTGGTGCAATATGCCTTGCTGTCTGTAGTACTATCTTAGCGAATATTGTCGCAAAACAGACGTGTATTTGAGATTTGAAAAGCAGTCTTTCTTCCATGCAATTGAAACTTCAACCTCAAAGTGTATGGACTCTGATAACGGCTTGATAACATGTGGCCCACAAGTACGTCCTCCCATCTAATACATAGATCAACCCATCAACAAAATATATTATGTTAATAGCGTGCTTCGCAAGTTCTCATACCCAATTCTTACAGGCACACATATTTTTTGTACTGTATATTTTTAGAGAATTTGTGTATGTGCTATTGAGTGTGATAAACTAGAATATGCATGTATTTGTGTTTTATTTTTATTTCACTCTTACATGTCTTGTACAATGCTAAGAGTTCTAAGCTTATAGGATTCTGTGGTAATTTTCAGTATCGCCTTATCATCCTATTCTACGTAATAGCTCATCTTGAGTTGTAATACTATTGTAACTATTATTTTATCAACTTTAATTGTTTTCAACTTTAATAATAATTCTGTAGAGTTGTTATTTTCGATCTGTCTAACTTATTCAGAAACTGTTATTTCTTTACTAAAGACTATGACGGTGTTTTTGTTTGAAATAGCAGTAACTCTCGTTGTACTCTTTCTAAATTGAATGTTATTTAAGTCTTATCTCGAGGTTTAAAGTCGTCATTGCCTTAAAAATGAAACGCCCGGTGTACTGTTATTGAGACTATAGCGGTGTTCAAATCCCGCAGGTGGATACCGCTCTGGCGTTGTATCGCGTTTCGACCTGGCAGGCTGGATCTGGTCGAGCGGGGTATTCCTGAACATCAGCGACACCTCCTGGGGCGGCCTGACGGGCCGCCGTACCGAGAGGTAGAGTCGTCAACTATCGCCTTGATGACCCATCGGCGGGGCGTTCTAGGGCTGGCGCCGTGAGTCTGGTTATGTTGTTGACCACGGTAAACCCTTGCTCTGACCGGTTTTTGACCCCGAGCGAAGATTATATATCGGATGAGAGAGTGCAAGAAGAGTCATTTGGTGGGCAGGGCCTTAAAACACCTTGGTCCCGCGGTCTGTTCCCAACATCTGTAGACCGCTAAATACCCTGCGCATCCCGTAGGCGTAGATACCTCGTATAAAGTTCAGCCCCTTGTCCGAAAACAAAAAAGGAGGGGACCAATTTTTTTAATGAAAAACGTACTTTACACACGTTCACAAATGACGTTCATGATGAATGTAATAAAAATCACACCCGCAAAAATATTAAATTGTATAATTCTTGATATTAGGGTTGTCTTGTGAGCTCGCATGGGTAGGCACGACCACCCTGTCACGGAGCAGTAATTCGCTTCGGCTTGATGCTTTTGGACTATTGATACCACTCAGTTAAGTTGGTTCGCCTAACAAAAATAATTATTAAAAGATAATCGAACTATTATTTCAGTTGCTTTTACACTAGAATCTCGTAGTATTTTTTTATTGTTACATATTTGTGTCTAAATTAATTACATATTACTTTCATAGTAAATGAAGTAACTGCTCCTCTTTCAACAGAAAATATGTCATGCAATATTTTTATTAGTTCTGAAATAAGTGTAGGTACCACAAGATTTAATGCTTTTTTACTTGTATTATAAAACTATTGTGTACATTTATGTTAATTTTCGATGCATATTTAATTATATTGAAGCAAAACCCGGTGTTAGTTAATTCTGTAGCTCCGTGGGGGTTAAAATAAAATTCAAAATCGTATATTTGCTTTTCATTTATTTTTTCATTATGTTTTTAAATAAGTATCATAACAAAAGTCATTTAAAGTTTTAAGTATAAATAGTCATACACTATCAATACAACTGTAGGTATTATTGATTGCATACATAGGTATTGCTTTTTCGGTTATTCAAATATAACTAGAAATTCGTAGGATTAAATGCATTTTATAAAATTATCATTAATTTAATTCATAGCTACATATATTAATTAATACGGTCGACAAATAAAAGAGCTAAAATAGTAAACAAAAAATTAATGATAAAATAATTTCTCTTACATTTTCATAATGGTGACCTCAACTTAATTTTAAACCTTATTCTGTGTTCACTATGATTTAAAAATCAAAACACAACGTGAAAATTGTCCAACTAAAACTGAACCATTATTTGCTCTATAAGAGCATCGACCTTTGCATATCACTAAGTACAAAAATATTAATTTCAGAACATCTAATTAACATAACCGTGTAATAGTAATTAATTAATCTCATCGAAGACAAGAAACGGAACAACGCGAATAAAAATATATATTTTGTACCCGATTCCATCAGAGCAGCTGGATTTTTTTGTATTCAAAACATCAAATCTAACCAGCACACGTCAAACTGACACTATGTCATTCTGAAAAAAGTGTTGTTCTAAATTCGAATCACAGAAACGAAATTCAAATCTTTTATAAACTCTGCTATTCCATATTCCATCACTAAAAATATCTAAGCGATGAAATTGCAAACAGAAAAAAAAGAAACAAAAAATTGCCAAAGATTAACATGTGCGGGTTAAAATCAATTATGATAACCATTTCTATTGTATTAATCATATTTTATTTTACAACAAACGTTACAATGTTCTAAGCATTACTGAAAAACTCTTCCTAAACTAATAAGTATACTATAACAAGTCCCTGAATAAAATCAACGATTTATTAATTTAAGTTAATTCTATATTGCTTATGTTTGTACAAAGTTTTCAAGTATTGGTGTTTTAATTCTGAAAATATATAAATGTAATATACAAGTACATACGATTTACAATTATAATATAAGAATTCCTTAATTAAATTTACAAAGCACTTAAATATAACAGTACCCACATCCGAGTAACTATGAAACGAAATATTTCAAATATACATTACATTCACTATTTAGTGAAAACATGATAATATATATCGACGCTTGAAAGGCAAACGTTACTAAGCGACAATAACTGCTTTGTACATAAATGATAGGCAATAACCATATTCGATGCGCAAAAATATATATTTCTAGGTCTATTAAAATCATTTCAATCCTACAGCTACTAGCTAGATTCTGCTACAGCTAGATTCGTTAAAATAATTTTTTTTTCAGGTATTTCGACTTTAAATTAGTCTATTGTAAAGTTCACGCATTGTCGCTTAGTCACGTTTGCCTTTCAAGCGTCGATATGTTTGATTTTAATCATGAAAAAATTAATTTGGTAGAAAACCGATACTATAATAGGTACGTTCCTATACGTCATAGTATATATTTACACGTTTATTTACAAAGCTATCACATATTACATTATTATTATCACTATTTACATTATTGCGAATCAGTGTCTGTCTTTCTTACAATGACACTTATTTGTCGTATAACTTTTCGAAATAGCAGTCTGCAAAATTGTCTTTCATTGTAATTGTAGGCAGCGGCTTGGCTCTGCCCCTGGCATTGCTGAAGTCCATGGGCGACGGTAACCACTCACCATCAGGTGGGCCGTGTGCCCGACTGCCTACAAAGGCAATAAAAAAAATATGTCTGTTAAACATACACTATGTGTGGTTTCTCTGGGGTTCTGTGAGGAGGGATAGTTTCATAGGCAAATTGTTGGTAAATATGCTCCTCGCTCTCTTCTTGGTAATAAGGGTTCTTATCGACACTATTCCACGGGGGATTTAATGAGTGAAAGTTATTAGTTACCGAAGAGCCGATCATTAGATATCGATCCACGTCACGCTTGTTATCTTGCTCCCGACCGCGACTCGAATATCCCAGGCCGTTTCCCAATTTGGAAACGTCACCGTTCATCATTACACTAGTCATTATCTGTTTCGATTTATCTCCTTTGCATTTCTTTAGCGGTCCCATAAAATACAAAACGGCACACACAACGCTTATAATGATACTAACGGTTAGCACCACAACAGCATCTATCACCCACCCGCTTGAGCACCCAAATTCAGATTCCGGAATCTGAACGAACAACATGCCTTTTAATTGCAACGGACCTGAACACTTTACGTCTTCGTAGTCTATTTTGAGAAAATCACTGGAGTTCCCTGATTTCTTAGTAGTGGTCTCACTTTCTTTACCCAGCTTCCACAACCACAGCAGGGAACAATTACACGCGAATGGATTTCCAGAAATCTCTAGCTCTTGTAATCTGTCTATCGGAAAATGAGATGCTTCCAGTGTCTCTAAGGCATTGTTTTTCATATAAATATTTGTCAATTTCGGATTTCCGTGAAACAATCTCGGCGGAACTTCCCTCACTTTGACATTATCATTCATCCATATTTTTTGCAGATTTATATTATCAACGAAAGCTCTCGAATCGATTCTTTCGAGTACGTAAAGTCTGCTCAAGTGTAAGTGTTTCAGGAGGAAAAGACTTTGGAAAGAAAGCGATGAAACGTTTTGAAAAAAGTTTCCACTTAAGTACAAATGGGACAAGTTAGATAGTTTTGAAAGAGCGGACGTTGGAATTAGAGTCATATTATTGTCACTGAGGTCCAAATGACGTAATGAAGGTAAACTATGAAAACCTAATTGATCTACGCTTTCAATTATATTATTATTCAAGTCCAAATGTTTCAACTCTTTCAAGAACGGCAAACCGTGTCTGGAGACTTGCTGTATCAAATTCTCTGACAGATCTAAATATTCAAGGTGAATGACGAATCCAAGATTGGCAGATGGTATATCTAATATGGAATTGTTTCTGAGTGATAAAATCTTCAATGACGACAAGGGCTCAAATGTTTCCGGTTCGAAAGTAACCAGTCTATTGTTTGAGAAGTCAAGTCTTTCTAAAGCAGATAAATCTCTAAATGTCTGCACGTGTATGTTCGATATTTCATTGTTTGATAGATTCAAATCAACCAAACTATTCAATCCGACGAAGGCGTCTTTATCAAGGCGCTTTAAGAAATTATGACTTAAATTCAAATGTCTCATTTCACTGTTGCTTTCGAAGTTTTCACTACCTAAATCTAATATCTTGTTGTAAGAAATATCTAGAACAGTGAGCTGGGTGTAGAGGTTGAACGCGTAGAGTAGATTGTCGATAGCATTGTGCGTAAGGTTCATAAGCGTTGCCTCTGGATTGAGTTGTATGGGAACTATTTCTAGGTTTGCGTTGGCGCAGGAGGCAGCTCTTAAGGCGTCGTCGCACATGCACCGCACCGGACATAGCGTTTTCGCTGCTGCAGCACTCCATGTCCATGCAAACAGCACCATCCAACAGCGCCACTTCACTACGCGGGAGCCCATAACATCTCATGTATACGCCACTCGTGATCTGTAAATAAAAGAAAAGTTTAAAGTCTATATTTCAAATAACATGACCTCAGCTTTATCTGTACAGAAAAGCAGAAGTTGTTTTGTTAGAAGGGACCCACAAAACTCATTTCATGTGAAATCTGTTCCGTTATCTTGTGCAATTTATTGCTATCGTAAAATTTTGTCTGTTTCTCTTATTTTTCTTAATCTTCCGTCATGGAAAAAGAAATAAAAGCAAAATACACAAAATTATCGCACCACAAAATCTTAATATAATTTCTGGCGAAAACTGCAGATAACAAATGTGCCTCTCCCCAATTTGTATGGGGGAATGGAATTGTTTGATCCAAATTAGACTGATAAGAGAGACGTGCCGCACCGACGGAATGGTAGTTTGCCACAAAAACTTTTTTATTATCTTTTGTTACAGCCCAGCATAGACGCGGGGGTAAGTCCCATTTCAACATATTGCATGAGAAGCATTAACGTCCTCGATTTGTTATTCAATATGCCATTACATTAGGGCCGCTTGTCATTTTGTCGAGCGGGCGGCCACGTTGTGGAGGCACGTGGTGCGAGGGTTAATGCGTTTTCTCGCGGCGAGGCCCCCAGTCCGCTAGTTCCTTTACTCGTCAAGGCTTATTGCGTCTTTATTTATCGTTCCACATTTCCCTGCAAGACGAATGTGCCGTAAACGGGAAACTAACGAACAACATTCGCACCGCTAAGCTTTGGCAACCTGAACGTTTTCTTAACAATGCTACCCAAAATCGTCGACAATTTAACAAAGGATCATTCGGTAGGTACTTTAAATTAAATGTTCGGCTTTACAATTCGACGGAATGTATAATGAATAGCACCGTAACATCTGTTAACGAAGGCGAACGATCTAGAAAGTTTCACGCGCGGGAATAACTAATTGCGAAGGTTGGAATTCAATTTATAGCTTCTAGTGCGCCTCTAGGGAGATCACGCCATGATAAAGTATTAATAATGCAAAACAGTGTCACGGAAAGTTTTTGATTCGAAATGCAAATTGAATTAGATAACAAAGTTCTGAATGTTGAGCTGCTTCCTCAGCTTTGTCATTATTGGTTATACGCCAAGTAAATTAACAACAGCCGTATACAAAATGCAAAAATATGGTAAGATTTGATTAAATTTATAATTCAGTATTGCCGAATGATCATGTTGGGAAAACTTTGTTTATGACAAAAAAAACGTCTAAGATATTGATTGATTTTTACGAGCTTTATATTAGCTTCACTTGTATGTATGTTTGTATGTTTGTAACTGACTTCTTTAGACGCGATTTTGACCCACTTTAAATGGCCAGATTTCATTCAAACTTTGTAGATTTATCGAGGGCCGATGACAATTCAATATTAAAAAAAAGAATTTAAATTCAACTAAAAAATTAAAAATAAATAATAGTTAAAAAAAACTAAAAAACACGCTTTATATAAAATTCTTTAATAGAAAATAAATTTTAATAAATTTAAATTAAAATAGTGTAAAAAATATATATTTGATTGTAAAAAAAGCGTGGGGTGCTTTTTAAGATATTATTGAAATAATAATTCTTCTACTCTACTCTACTAACACCATGCACCCCAATTTTTTAAACTATTATTTCTACTCTGAGGTGGGAACAACTACTCGTAAACATAATGAAGATATCACAACTCGACCGGCATCATAAGTGAAGATGAGCTGTTCTCCCTCGGTAACCAGATATCATTCAACGCGAACGGATTACCCGGGCCCGCCTGAATTACAGAAACCATACATATCCGATACACATTAAAGATCCCAGTATTAGGACGGATTAATTCCGTTGCCTTTCCGAGTGTACTCTGCGACGTCTGAACCGAATGATGCAATTTTAATGACTGCTGTGTCATTCCTGAATCTGAAATTTAAATATCAAGCATAGATGTTTCTATTCGTATATTACATTAGCTTTATTTGCTTGAAAACAACTTTTGAAGGAATCGCACCCACAGTTTCTTTGCTGACTTGTGCTTTAGTTTTTCGATTGTCTTATAATTTCTTCGACTCGAAACCGCAAATTATGTTCAATGGAATCGTTGTGTGCTTAGTCCGTTATTACTTTACTATTTTATTATATTTGACATAGACCGGTGTTAGGTTCACAGACTGTTAAGTGCTCGTTTTGAAGGTAGTATTGAAACTGGAACGCTTAAATGCCTCAAGAAGAGTTCACTATGTTTTTTATTTATTACTTAGATGGTTGGACGAGCTCACAGCCCACCTGATGTTAACAGTAACCACTGGAGCCCATAGACATCTAGAACGTAGATGCACCACCCACCTTAAGGTACAAGTTCTAAGTTCTCAGTATAGTTACAACGGCTACCCCACCCTTCAAACCGAAACGGATCACTGCTTCACGGTAGAAATAGACAGGGTGGTGGTATCTACCCGTGTGGACTCACAAGAGCTCTTACCACCAGTAATTACGCAAATTATAATTTTATGTCATTAAAATATACACAATATTCACAATAAAACCACCACTAGTAAATATTTATTAATTTTAATAATAACCGCTATAATTGCTTCCCAAAAACATTCCTATTCTCTTTAATAAATGTAGTATTATACGTTTTGAAGTTATCGTATTCTTTTCGTTCCGCAGGAAATCTCGAAATGGAAATTTAACATTCCCTTATTGAAAAGTTAAGCTTCGCAATGTTTAGATACGACATTTTAATAAACGTAACGGACTTTGTTTGAAACTGTCTGCGAATGAGGATTATCGAGTTATTTTTTGCGTCAAACAAAACTTTTACAAAGTAAGCTTTGTCGTTACGCTTTCGTTACGAAATTAATTATTACCGTGTATAATTACAGTTTATTATTCCGTATCCCCAGTTCGTTACCATTCATTTATGTTCGTAAGTCATAATGAACTCCATTTAGGTACATAATTGGTAATCAAGAATTATCATTTCCTGTCCTCAATGTGGAACACGTCCTGAGTATTAGTTTCACATTTCGAGAATATTCAACCCAATATTGTACTTCCGGAAAACAATTTTAAAGGCTGTATCCAAATATTTTGATGCTATGGCTTTTCTAATTACACAAACTTAAAAACTGTCAAATGATAACGTCGTGCCTAAATTATACATAATTTACTATATTAAATTAACAGCAAAAAATATACACACAAAGTAAAAAATTATACATAATTTATTATCTTAAGTTAACAGCAAAAATATTATACATAAAGTTTTAAGAAAATTTGAGCAGTCAAAGCAAATAGGCCACCAAAATATAAATCTAAAATAAAATTACAAAGGCGAAAATTTGTATGATAGGTGGTTTTTTACTCCATCATCTAAAAATGGCAAAGCGGGTTTATTTGAAATTTCGCACAAAAATAGTTTAAAGCTTAGATAGGATATTTTTTTAGGATAGTAAATGAAATTATCTAGGTGAAGCTTACATCTATAATAAATACAAAGCTGTGTTCGCTGATTCGTGATTTTACCAATGCATCTAAAGATTTACTGGTAGTTTATTGACGAGAGTTTGACACAAGCAACTCAAAGTCAACAGAGGCGATCGGTCTCATCGAGGTCTCAGCTACCCAGCTGTTAATACAAGTTAAGACGTTACTAACACAAATGACACTTCACGAGGGGCGAAACAATAAAACCGGTGTAAAAGTCCGCTTACCACTTCCTCGCCCTCGCCCCAATACAGTATTATCTCAGTCCACATTTACGACTTTCTTAAACCGAGCTTAAATGTATTCTTACTCTTGAGATATTTTACTACTACAACAAAGACTATGGAAATCCTAGCTTTTTTTTTTAATGCTTAGATGTGCGGACGAACTCACAGATCAACCGGTGTTAAGCGGTTACTAGAGCCCATAGACATCTACGACGTAAATGCGCCACCCATCTTGAGATATAAGTTCTAAGGTCTCAAGTATAGTTAAAACGGCTGCCCCACCCTTCAAACCGAAACGCATTACTGCTTCACGGCAGAAATAGGCGGGGTGGTGGTACCTACCCGCGCGGACTCACAAGAGGTCCTACCACCAATAAAGTGGACGACGTAATACGAGAAAATTGTTTCGTGAGTTTCAGCTATATGGGATTGTTCGAGAATGCATGTTCCTCGTTGACGGCTATAAGGTATAGTCTAAAAGGCGGTGCTAACGGGCATAATGAGAAAACTTGGCCGGCGGAGAACGCACCGAGTGCCCGTCTACATCTTAGACAGGACAAAAACCGAGCGAAGCGACTAGTTGATTCGATTGTAAATTCGCAACTTCACGGTAAACGTCCACAGACACGAACGCCTTTTTACTTTAAATCGGAGATAAAGCACAAAGAAGTTTAATCAAAATTTAGATTAAAATATTTCAAGATTAAATCGTGACCGTCACACCGGCTGATAAACCACAGAAAGGTTCCCCTATTACGTGCTGCTGTGGACAGCTCGTTTTTTTATATTTATTTGCCTAAGTAATTTTATAGCCGCTAACTTCATTACCAGCTGCATTATGTGGGATTTAATAAACGACAAATCAAACATAGAACATAGACGAATATACGCTGAGTGGCCACGTATGACAAAATGAATTGTGATTATAAAAGATTAACATTACTGATTGAAAAGTTTCAATTTCAATTTTATTGTATAACAGTTGTTTAAGCCTAAAGGGCAGCCAAATATCTACTTGGCCAGAAAGCATAAATGGACAATCACCCATCAACCAAACAACCACACCCCAAACCCCTTACATAGTACATTCTACTACCAGTAAACAAAAAGCCTAAGGAGAGAAAATAATAAGAGACAGAATAATTCTTATAAGAGAATAATCTGTCCTTATCTCCTCAAAATTCTTGATCTACTGCTAATATTTTTATATCGACTGCGGATTTTTTAACCTATGTACTCGTCTGTATGTACACATCTTTATTTTCTACCTAATATTTTTCTTAATACCCATTATTTTATGAATAATAATCC